GAATATTAGTTATATTAGTATACTTAATACCTCCCATTTATAATTTTTTTTTCAGTTGCACTCAAGGTTTTGAGATCCCTGTCCTCACAGTGCAGGACCTGGCAGTGAATCCACCCCTTGGGATGTGGTGGGTGTTAGATTCTGTTACCGCGAATGGGAGTGCGCTTCACCCACGGGTCAGGTTGCTGTTACAGGGATGTGGTAAGAGCAGATCGGCATTCAGCAGGACACACTGGTGAGCAGATGGAGCCGGCCAGAAGAATTCAGGAGCAGGTGATACCCACATGTCCGGTGGAGCAGGTAGAACTGCCTGGAAGTAGGTTCTCAGCCACTAGACCCAGATAGAGTATTTCATGTCTCTTCAAGTGAAACCAACAGAAGAAAAATTGGTGCCAAGCTTAGAGAAAAGGCCTTGAGGGCATGTCAGAGCTCACGTATCAGGACTGGGGTCAAAGACATGGCCAGACTCTGAGTGAGGCCCATGTCCTCCAGGGTTAAAGTCCCTCCCAGCCCAGCTGAGCTCTGGTTCCAGAGTCAGCTCTGTGGTTGACCTGCAGGTAGGGATCAAATGGTTGCACTGTGGACAGAAAAGGGCAGACAGGACAGAGCGGGAAGGGAGGGAAGGCCCAGTGCATTATGGAAAACCAGCAAAGGCCCAGCTTGAGCAGCCAATGGCACAAGGACGCCACTGTAACTGACAGACACGCCTGCTCTGCCGCTGGGCCTGCTCTAGTGTGGGGAGTTCTGATCAGCACCAGGAACTGTTTTTTTGTTTTTTTTTTTCTTTTTCTCTGCTTTGTCCATGTTGAACCAGGCACTCTTTAGAAGCACTGTGTCTGGTTTTTATCCTCTTCTGCTGTCACTCCTCTCTCATGCCATCCTGGGAAAAGTTCTTTCTTCAGAAAGATCTCCCTTCCATAGTCCTCTCATTAGAATCTTTTGGATGCTATACAAAAAGACAAACATTCTGATGAGTCCATCAACATTAGGCTGAATTGTTGGAGACGCAGGGAGATGGGCTACAGGAGTCTCTATGCACACACTGGGTGGACTCGCCGGCTCTCAGCACCAAGCTCACTCCTTAGTACTTTGCTCTGTGCTGCCAGGGCTGGGCCCTGTGTATTTCTCACATTCTGTCTCCACTTGGCCTTCTGACTGTGGGCAGCACCAGAAAGAGCCTGAGACTACCTTCTGTCTCCAGTCGCTGTCAGCGACTCTCCAGCGACAGGCAACCCGGCTCCAGCCTCCAGCTGCCCTGGGCCTCCCAGTATCAGCCACACCACGCCCTTCAAAAGCCCCAGCACCAGCTGGGGCAGAGGGTGGGGGGCTCCCCTGCAAGTTTCTGGTTTCTCATAGCCCACCTCTTCCGTTTTGTCCTCCAGTTTAAAGAATGGCAGCTGCTTTTTGTGGTTGCTAATCTCTGGGTTATCTCAGCAGCCCTTCTATGCTGTTTCAGCTTTGTCTAGGTAAACATTTCCTGGTATTAAACTTCGAAAAACCTACCATGCTTTCTGTTTTCTGAATGGACCCTGACTGCATATGTGATTGTATTTATTTACTCATATATGTATTTATAGTTATGCCTTGCTTCATGATGGGAATACATTCTGAGAAATGTGACATTAAGTGATTTTTATCGTTGTGCAAAAAATTGAGTATTTACACACACCAGGGTGGTGCAGCCCACTCCACACCTAGGCTGGATGAGATAGCCTACTGCTTCTAGGCTAAAAACCTGACAACACATTACTGTGTTCTGAATACTGTAGGCAGTGGTAACACAATGGTAAGTATTTGTGTATCTCGATAGAAAATACATAAAATAAGGTATAGATTAAAAAATGTGCTGGGCTCAGTGGCTCATGCCTGTATTGCCAGCACTTTGGGAGACTGAGGCAGGCGGATCACGAGGTCAAGATATCAAGATCATCCTGACCACCATGGTGAAACCTCATCTCTACTAAAAATACAAAAATTAGCTGGGCATGGTGGCACGCACCTGTAGTCCCAGCTACTTGGGAGGCTGAGGCAGGAGAATCGCTTGAATCAGGAAGGCATAGGTTGTAGTGAGCCAAGATCAAGCCATTGTACTCCAGCCTGGTGCCAAAGTAAGACTCCATCTCAAAAAAAAAAAAAAAAAAAGATACACCTGTATAGGGCACTTATCCACGAAATTTGCTTTGGGTGAGTCAGTGAGTGAGTGGTGAGTGAATGTGCAGCCTAGGACAGTACTGAACACTGGACTGTACACATAGGCTGCACTAAAGTTATGAACAAATACTTTTCTTTGATAATAAATTAACCTTAGCTCACTGTAACTTTCCTACCTTATGAACTTTTCCATTTGTAAAATACTTTTTGACTCTTATAATAACAGCTTAAAACACATACATTGTAAAATTGTGCAGATGTATTTTCTTTATATCCTTTTTTCTATAAGCTTTTTTTCTTTTTTAAAATATTTTATTTTTAATTTTTTTACTTCTCATTTTTTTTTTTAAAAGAAGACACAAACACTCACATGGTCCTTGGCCTGCCCAGGGTCAGACTCATCAGTGTCACTGTCTTCCTCCTCCACATTTTGCCCCACTGGAAGATCTTCAGGGCAGTAACGTGTGGAGCTGCCCTCTTCTCAGGTAGCAATAATTTCTTCCAGAAAAATCTCCTGAAGCACCTGTCTGAGGCTTTTTTACAGTTAACTTTTTTTTTTTTTGGTAAGTAGAAAGAGTTTACACTAAAATAATGATAAAAGTACAGATAACAGGTTGGGTGCAGTGTCTCATGCCTGTAATTCCAGTACTTTGGGAGGCTGAGGAGGACAGATCACGAGGTTAGGAGATTGAGACCATCCCGGCTACACAGTGAAACCCTGTCTCTACCAAAAATACAAAAAATTAGCCTGGCATGGTGGTACACACCTGTAGTCCTAGCTACTCGGGAGGCTGAGGCAGGAGAATCGCTTGAAACCAGGAGGCGGAGGTTGCAGTGAGCTGAGAAGGCGTCACTTTACTCCAGCCTGGGTGACAGAACGAAACTCCGTCTCAAAAAAAAAAAAGTACAGACAGTAAATACATAAACCACTAACGTAGTCATTTATTATCATTATCAGGTATTAGGTACTGTTCATAATTGTGTGTGCTAGACTTTCATACAACTGGCAGTGCAGTGGGTTTGTTCACATCAGCATTCACCACAAACGTGGTAATGCCTTGCACTGTGACATTACGATGGCTGTGATGTCACTCGGCAATAGGAACTTTTTAGCTTCATTATAATTTTATGGACCTTTGTTGTATATGGGGTCTGTCATTCACTGAGATGTTGTTATGTGGTGATAACTGTATTTCTGTATACATGACCAGTGTTTAAAAAATCAGAAGAGATTTTAACAAAAGCATAGTAATATGACCAAAAATCATTAACACAAATAAAAGGAAAAAAGTTTGAGACCAGCCTGGGCAATGTAGGCAAGACCCTGTTTCTACAAAACAGCAATAATAATAATAAATTAGTCAGGCATGGCATGGCATGCCTGTCATCCTAACTACTCAGGTGCCTGAAGCAGGAGGATTATTTGAGCCCAGGAGTGCAAGGCTGCAGTAAGCTATGATCATGTCACTGTACTGCAGCCTGAGTAACAGGGAAACTTGTATCCAAAAATAAAAAAGAAAAAGAATAGATTCAAAAAAAGAATTTTTGTATATGCTGCAAGGAATAAATAAAATTTATTTTGAGGCAGGCGCATCACGAGGTCAAGAGATTGAGACCATCCTGGCCAACATGGTGAAACCCCGTCTCTACTAAAAATACAAAAATTAGCCTGGTGTGGTGGCGCAGGCCTGCAATCTCAGCTACTCAGGAGGCTGAGGCAGGAGAATCACTTGAACCCAGGAGGCGGAGGTTGCAGTGAGCCGGGATCGCACCACTGCACTCCAGCCTGGCGACAGAGTGAGACTCCGTCTCAAAACAAAAACAAAAACAAAAAGTTCACTTCAGAGCAAAAAGGTAGCCTAGAAAAGGAACGTTAACATTTTTAAGCTGAGAGAAAATGTACCTCTTTAAACATGTTTATACTGTTCTCCTTCTTTTTCCTGGGTGAGGAGATTGAGCTCTTGCCAAGAATGTGGTTATGGCTGGGGGCAGTGGCTCAAGCCTGTAATACCAGCACTTTGGGAGGCTGACGCAAGAGGATCATTGGAGCCCAGGAGTTCAAGACAGCCTGGCCAACATAGTGAGACCTTGTCTCTACAAAAAATACAAAAATTAGCCAGGCGTGGTAGCAGGCGTCTGTAGTCCCAGTGATTTGGAAGGCTGAAGCAGGAGAATCACTTGAGCCTAGGAGCTCACATTCCTTGATTAACAAGGCTGAACATGGTTAAGATATTCATTAGCCAGTTGTGTTCCTTTACCTGTGGATTACTTCTTTTGTATGTTTTCTTATCTTTTCTGTTGGGGTGCTCATTCCTCTTACCAATTTGTAGAAGCTCTCAGCTGCGTCATGGATCCGAACCCCTTGCTGTGTGTGTCATACACATTTTTGGCTTGTTGTTATTTGCAAGGCACACCTAGGAAGATGTGAGTCCCACTGTACCCCTGGTTCGGGGATGGAGAGACAGCTCTTCCAAGAGAAGGCAGCCAGGGTAAAGAAAAACAGAGGAGCAATGGAAAGAGGGTGTCTGTCTTCACTCACCTCTGCAGGGTGAGCAGTCATGCGCTGAGGAAAAAGTGTATGACTTGGAGATTAAAGGGCTACAGTTCATCCCTTGTTAACTAGGTGACTGTGGAAAAATGGTCAAACCTCTTCAAGGCTCAGTTTCCTCTATAAAAGAGAGGAAGTAATGGTTGCTTCATATAGGATCGTTGTGTGCAATAAATGAGTAAATTCATGTAGAGGACTTGTTTCAGGGCCTGGCATCCAATCAGTGTTTGAGCAATGAACAGTTGATGGTGTGAACCCAATAAAATCACAGGCACTGATGCCTTTTGACAATTTTAAAGGACTATGAACACATAAGTAGCTGTTTAGTTTTACACACAATTATACATGTCACAGAATGTACTAGGAGTCTGTGAAACATTCAGCCGCCCTCTTAGTTCTGAGTTTGAGACTGGAATGCCCTCTGAGAGCGTCAGCTGTCCTCCCACGTTCACTGATTGGCAAAGGGAAATATGGGGGCGGGGATCTGGGACACTCGCTCAGGAGTCCAGACAGTGGTGGGACAACCTGAGTGCTCAGTCGTAAAGAGGAAAGGCAGAACTTTTCCTTGCCATGGCTGCAACAAAGGCACTTTTGATGCTGGAAAACTTCATAGATGGAAAATTTTTACCTTGTAGCTCATATATAGACTCTTACGACCCATCAACAGGGGAAGTGTATTGTAGAGTTCCGAATAGTGGAAAAGACGAGGTGAGTATATGCACTTAAACAAGACTGAAATATGTTTAATATGTTGGCCAATTATGGGTAACAATTTTCTAAAGGCAGAGGGAGTTGGGGGAAGATGTAGGATTGTTAAACTGATAGAAGGAAGATTCTGGTTCTAAGAAGGTTTACCTTGTGACTGGACTGTATGATACGTAGAACAAATCTCTTACTATATTCAGAAGTAAGTCATTTTTCTAGCCAGCCTAACACAGCCGTGTGTGCAGTTTTTGTTTTTGTAATTCTCAAACATTTCCTAATCAGTGTCTGGTACAAAGTATTATTTGTAATGATCACTTTGTTAAATATTCCCTTCTCTCCACCAAGCACTGCTTAAATTTACCACTATATCCATGGAATTAAAAAAAACGTGTAGCTTCTTGGTGCATTGACCAAAACAGAACAATGCACAAAGCAACATAGAAAAAAAAAAAAAAAGAAAAAAATGTGTAGCTTTACTAAAACAGACAGGCAAAAAACTGTGGGCTTTGTTTTAAATTGTCTTCTCATAATTTGTCATATCTTCAAAATACCTAGTAAAATAAAATCAATCATTTGAATGATGAAACTCAAAATCAAATTCCCATATATTTTTGGAGTTAAATTTAACAGCATCTTTTTTCTTATTCAAAATGTTTAATGGTATATGTATTACAATTTTTAGTGATGTAAAATTAATTTGACTTGGGAAATTTTGTAAAATATTTGATTAGCTATCAATTATTGCATTGAGAATGTAAATATATTGGGAGTGGTAAGTGTAGCTGATGTATGTATAGTCATCTAATGTCTTATGGGTTATAATTTGTTCTCTTTAAGGCACAAAGAACTAGATTATTTAAAATATAATTATAGCCTTCATATAAAAATATGTATTACATGCAAAGTTTTTTTTGAAGAACACTGCTATTTTTTTCTCTTGTTAATACTTCAAATCTGTCTTGCATTAAAAATAAACCTTTAGACTTAGGGATTAATGTTTGCAAATGTTGGCTAATTCATTGGTTAAATTATGATCTGCAATTTTGTTTGCTTCAAAATGACCTAACACAGCTGTGGGAAATCTGGCTTTGTGTTTTCCACTCTTCCTTGTTTGCCAAAGTGAAGTTAAAAATGACAAACATGCCAAATTCAGCTGAACTATTTCCTGCAGCTACTGGCTCATCCCTTTTTAGATAATAGAATGAGGAATGGATGCACCAGCTAGTAGAGTAATAGATATGTTCAATTTCTCAGCAATCCAACTTCCAAATATCCTATCTGATCCTATCTGCTTATGGGATCAGATAGGATATTTGGAAGTTGCGTTGCTGGCGTGAAAAATATGATTACCATACAAACGACATGTCCAGTTTCCCAAAACATCACTCAGAAAAATATTGCTGGCACTGCTAACAGTGGCTCCCATTTATCAAACTTTTGCTATGTGCTTTGCAGTCGTTACACCCTTTTAAAAAAATTAAAAAATTGATACATAATAATTGTATATCTTCATAAGCATATGTGACATTTTGATACATGCATATAGTGTGTCATTATCAAATCAGTGTAATTAGGATCTCCATCACATTAAACATTGATCATTTCTCTGTGTTGGGAACATTCAAAATTTTTTCTTCTATTGTGAAATATACAATAAATTATTGTTAACCATTGTCACTCTAATAGAACTTACTCCTTTTAATCATTTTTTTGTATTCATTAGCTAGCCTTGATTCTCTCCTCTACCCTTCCCAGCCTTTGATAACCATAATTCTACTCTCTACCTTCATGAGATCAACTTTTTTTAGTTTCCACAAATGAGTGGGAATATGCGATATTTGTATTTTTGTGCCTGGCTTATTTCACTTGACATAATATCCTCCAGCTCAAATCTTGTTGCTGCAAATGACAGGATTTTGTTCCTTTTTATGGCTGAATAATATTCCATTGTGTGTATATACTGTATTTTCTTTTCTTTTTTTTTTTTTCGAGACGGAGTGTTGCTCTGTCACCAGGCTGGAGTGCAGTGGCGCAATCTCGGCTCACTGCAACCTCCGCCTCCTGGGTTCAAGCGATTCTTCCGCCTCAGCCTCCCGAGTAGCTGGGACTACAGGTGCATGCCACCATGCCTGGCTAATTTTTTTGTATTTTTAGTAGAGACGGGGTTTCACCATGTTGGCCAGGATGGCCTCAATCTCTTGACCTCGTGATCTGCCCGCCTTGGCCTCCCAAAGTGCTGGGATTACAGGCGTGAGCCACTGCGCCCGGCCTATACCATATTTTCTTTATCCATTTATCTATTGATAGACATTAGGTTGAGTCCATATCTTGACTATTGTAAATAGCGCTGCAATAAACATGGGGTACAGGTATACCGATTTCCTTTTCTTTGGATAAATTCCCAGTAGGAGGATTGCTATGGTTGTTGAAGTTTTATTTGTTTTGAGGAAACTTCATATTGTTTTCTATAGTGGCTGCACTAATTTACTTTCCCACCAACAGCATATGCATCTTGCCTTTTCTTTGCATCTTCACCAGCCTTCTTTATTTCTTGTTTTTTGATAATGGTCATTTTAACTGGGATGAGATGATATCTCATTGGATTTCCCTAACTACTAGTGACGTTGAGCATTTCTAAGATACAGGTTGGCCATTTGTACATCTTCTTTTGTGAAATAACTACTCAGACCATTTGCCCATTTTTAAGTTGGATTTTTTTGGGGGGCTATTGAGGTTATTAATCCCTTGTCATATGAATAGTTTGCAAATATCTTCTCCCATTCTGTAGGTTGTCTTAACTCTGTTGATTGTTTCCTCTGTCGTGTAGAAACTTTTTAGCTTGATGTTATTTCATGGTTTTTTTTTTTTTTTTTTTGTTTTTTTTTTTTTTTTTTTTTTTGCTTTTGTTGCCTGTGCTTTTGAAGTCTTACCCCAAAAAAATCTTTGCCCAAATCAATGTCCTAAATCATTTATCCTGTGTTTTCTTATAGTAGTTTCATAGTTTTGGGTCTTACATCTATCTAAATTTTCAATCTATTTTGATTTGATTTGGTGAGAGATAGGGGTCTAGTTTCATTCTTCTGTGTATGGTTATCCAGTTTTCCCAGCACCATTTATTGAAGAGACTATCTTATCACCAATGCATATTTTTGGCAGCTTTGTAAAAAAAGAGTTGAGTGTAAAAGTGTGGATTCATTTCTGGGTTCTCTATTCTGTTTCATTGGTCTATGTGTCTGTTTTTATACCAGTGCCATGCTATTTTGGTTACTATAGCTTTGTAGTATATTTTAAGTCTGGTAGTATGCATCCACTAAGCCCTTTAACATGGATATTCCAAAGAAGCAAGTTGTAACAACCTAGAAATCTCTAATATGAAAAACAAAGAAGCAAGTTGTAATAGAAATCTCTATTATGAGATTTCTAGGTTGTTACAACTTGCTTCTTTGGACAATCTATGTTAAATAAGAAATCTTATTTTACAGAGGACAGTGCTAACACTCTCATCTCTGATGCTTAGATCCATGGTCATGTACACATGTGTGCACACACATGCACACCTGTGTGCATAGCATATTTGCATTATAGCGTTGTGGTCATGAGCACATACTACAGTCAGACTGGCTGGTTCAAAGACTAGCTCCACCACTTTGTATCTACAGCCTTGACTTAGAGCTGAACTTCTGCATGCCTCAGTCTCCACATCTATAAAATGGGGATAATAATGATGCCTACTTTACAGTGTCATTCTGAGGATTAAACAGACTCATATGTGTTAAGCCCTTAGTGCTTGGCATATAGTAAATTCTTTCTATGTATTAGCTTATACTCATATTATTGTATATAGTACTTAATATGTATTCTATATTACATAAACGTAAGATATGCCATAAGGCAACTTAGAAAATGTTAGTGAACTTGAATTTTCTGAATAGCAAAAAGATCAGATTTTTACACTGACTGGAGGAATTCATCGTTTTCTTGCTGGCTGGCAGTGGGGCTTCCTCATGGCTGTAGCTGGTGGTGGAGGTCACCAAAGCCATCTCGTCCCCTGACCTGTCTGCAGGTCCACATTAGAGATTTAGTTTTTGAGGTGAAGCCACCATATTTCTAGAAATTTCTAATTAAGATGAGAATCATTTGATACTTTACTTCAGCTCAGCTGAAAGTGACCGTATTAGTTCATTCTCATACTGCTATAAAGATACTACCCGAGACTGAGTAATTTATACAGGAAAGAGATTTAATTGTTTCACAGTTCTGCATGGCCTGGGAGGCCTCAGGAAACTTACAATCATGGCAGAAGGGGAAGCAGTCATGTTTGGTGGCAGGTAAGACAGCATGTGAGGCCCAGGAAAAACTACCATTTATAAAACCGTCAGATCTCATGAGAATTCACCCACTATCATGAAAATAGCATGGGGGAAACTGCCCCCACCAACCAATCACTTTCCTTCCTTGATGCGTAGGTATTATAATTCAAAATGAGATTTGGGTGGGGACACAAAGCCTAACCATATCAGTGACTTTGCACAAGGAAAATGAAGGAGGGGTGTGGGTCAGGTTTTGCATGAGGGCTAGCACAGGCTCAGGCGGCTAGATTGCTTCAGGTCAAGTGCTCCAAGAAAGATGCTCGTGGCCACCAGAAGCCTCTGGAAAAGGATTCTGAGTCCGAGCCAGGGTACAGTGGTGGAAGCCAGTTGTGATTATAATAATTTTTCATGCATGTGAGAAAGGAGAGGAGTGAGATGCGGGTTAGGGATTTGTTATCTCTGGAGAAGATATTACTTAGACATTGCTGGAGAGAAGAGACAAGCAGATAAGGACTTGAAAATTATTTTGCCTACATCACATTTTGGCCATGAGTTGACCCTGCCTATGCCTTCCCATACATATATTGTTTCCTTTTGTATGTAACTCTAAAACCAGGTACCCAAGCCATCTGTTCAGCCACAAATCTCCTCTTCTTCAATAAGGTCTTTCCCCTGGGCAGAATGAGGCAGCAGGCAGAGAAACCCGTGGTTCTGGGAACCACCAAAATCTGGCTCTGAGTCCTGATTCTGCCACTTACTAGCTGTGTGACCTCTGGCAAGTTACTTTTTTGTGGCTCCGTTTTTTCATATGTAAAAGGGGCATAGCAATACTCATTAGCATGTTCCATTATATAAAAATTAGTCATAAGTTATGAATATAATTAGTTATTTCAAATGAAAATGACAGTCTGAGGATGTGATTTCACCCAAAATTTTAGACCTTATAAGATATGTCACAGCTGAGTTAGGAGCTTTAGAGATTCCACATACCTAGATTAATTTTCTTCTTCTACACTATATATATTGTATATACTATATATTACACATACTATATATTATATATAGTATATATTGCATATATATTACATATAAACTATATATATTATATGTGTATAACATATACATTTTTTTGAAACAGAGTCCAACTGTGTCACCTAGGCTGGAGTGCAGTGGCACAATTACAGCTCACTACAGCCTCTACCTCCTGGGGTCAAGTGATCCTCCCACCTCAGCCTCCTGAGTAGTTGGGACTACAGGCATGCAAACAGTTTGTGTAGAGACAGGGTGTCATTATGTTGACCAGGCTGGTCTTGAACTCCTAGGCTCAAGTAATTTTCCCAATCCAGCCTCCCAAAATGCTAAAATTACCGGCATGAGCCACCACTCCTGGCCCACAATATTTTAAAAATTCTAGTTTCTGAAATGATTGATTGAAAATATACATCTGTTAAAATTCAAATAGCTTCTTTCTAACAATCTGATTGCCACATTCTGCATGCATTGGTTGAAATGGAGTGTGTTTGTTTGTTTCTGTGATACCTTTCCTTTGCTGGTCATGTAAACACCTGTGTCATCTACTTTGTGGGTGGTTCAGCACTGGGACATATTGAATATTCAAAATTAGGTGTGAGTGGGACATGGTGGCTCACGCCTATAATCCCAGCACTTTGGGAAGCCAAGGCAAGAGGATCACTTGAATTCAGGAGTTGGAGACCAGCCTGGCCAACATGGTGAAACCCCGTTTCTACTAAAAATACAAAATTAGCCGGGCATGGTGGCACATGCCTGTAATCCCAGCTACTCAGGAGGCTGAGGTGGGAGAGTCATTTGAATGCCAGAGGCAGAGGTTTCCATGAGCCAAGATCGTGCCACCATGCTCCAGGCTTGGCTACAAAGTGAGACTCCGTCTAAAAAAAAAAAAAATAGGTGTGTGGGGACTTGAGGATTCTGGTTCCATCCATTCCCTCAGGAGTAACAGCTTTAAGGTGACCCTCTCTCCCATTTGCTCCTCAAAGATCGAAGCTGCGGTCAAGGCCGCCAGAGAAGCCTTTCCCGGCTGGTCATCGCGGAGCCCCCAGGAGCGCTCCCGGGTCCTGAACCAGGTGGCGGATTTGCTGGAGCAGTCCCTGGAGGAGTTTGCTCAGGCCGAATCCAAAGACCAAGGTGAGAGTTACCTCTTAATTTTAACACGGGACTCAGGGCATCTCTGATTATTCATGTTACCCCTCCTGGGGCCACCGGGCCAGCCCATGCACCTGCTCCTCTGGCAATAGTAGGATTGGAGAGCAAACCCTCCCCTGCTCCAGGCCCAGGAAGGCCAGGACTTGCATCTGGCCCGCCTCTGCCTCATTCAGGTGGCCAGAGAAAGTCACATGGCTGGATCCAAAAGCGGAGGGGCAAAGAAATATACTCCGACCATTGGATGAAAGGAAATGCAAATATATACAGCAAAGGGCATGGATATAGGAAGAGATGAAGAACTAGGGCTGATCATGTAGCCTCCTACTCATCCTAAGCAGAGAATTTCAAAGTAAAGATAATCCGAAAAGCAGTGACGCAGTCAGATTGTTTAGGATGTTTTCTGATATGTCAGTCACCATTCCATTCCTGACATATTTTCTCATTTTTTTTCCCACTTTTTCCCAGAGGTCAGGGTAACGGAGTAAATACCTGTAAATTTTTATAAGAATATCTGTTAGGATAAGCCAAGAGGTTTTTTGTTTTTTTGTTTTTGTTTTTGTTTTTTTTTGAGACAAAGTCTCACTCTGCCACCAGGCTGGAGTGCAGTGGTGGGATCTCGGCTCACTGCAACCTCTGCCTCCTGGGTTCAAGCGATCGCCTGCCTCAGCTTCCAGAGGAGCTGGGACTACAGGTGCGTGCCACCACAACCAGCTAATTTTTGTGTTTTTAATAGAGACGGGGTTTCACTGTGTTAGCCAGGATGGTCTCCATCTCCTGACCTTGTGATCTACCTACCTCAGCTGCCCAAAAGAGTTTTAAAAATTACATGTGTGCTATAAACCAACCAAAAAATTAGGAAGCCCCTGAATCCAAGCCCTTAGAACAAAAATAGTTCTCTGCTAGTGTTCCTGGCCAGTCTCCCTGCATCACTAAAGAGAACTCAGTAACCGTCCAGGTCAGCTTATGTTTCTCTCTCTGTTCTATCCAGGAGTTAGGATGAGCAGGGCATGTGATGGGCGAGCAGGTGACACATAGCATCCCGTGCCAGGGCATTCCCAGCCGTCCTTCTGATGACTCTACCCTGTGTTGGAAGGTCATGAAATACACATCACAGGTGTATAAAAGGGCTTTGTTTTGTGATGTGCAAATACGACTGTCCTAACCCCCATATTTCAATGCCTTTGTCACAGGTATAAAGCTTCGTGATTTTGAATTGCTAGAGTTTGTGTGGGTGAAGTGGTAGCATCTGGCAAATTCATGATGAGAATCACGTGTTTAGTCCTACAAAACAAAGATTATTGACTCAGCTTAACCTCCCACCTCAGTTTCCAATCTTAGAGCTAAATATTCTATGGTTTTATCAAATCATGATCAACTCTTTGTGAGGTCAAGGAATGCCTGCCCCAGGCTAGAAGGAATCCAGGCCATTTCAGTGTGAGTGGGGATGGGACGTGTGTGCGGTGAAAGCTGACAGAGTGTCTCCATTAGCCAACAGTGCTTTCTGTTGCTTGCTTCTTACAGGGAAAACCTTAGCACTGGCAAGAACCATGGATATTCCCCGGTCTGTGCAGAACTTCAGGTTCTTCGCTTCCTCCATCCTGCACCACACGTCAGAGTGCACGCAGATGGACCACCTGGGCTGCATGCACTACACGGTGCGGACCCCTGTGGGAGTCGGTAGGTGGCCTTCAGTGAGCGCCCGCCTCCTGGTTCTGCTTGCAGATGCTCACAGCATGCTATAGCATTGCCCTCAACGAACAGGCCAAGGAAAAAGAAGAGCTGATATTTTTCTTTTACCTAAAATCTATTGGCCTCCAAAATCTATTTCTAGTCTGCTTTCTTTGTGTTAAATTCCCTACTTTATTTTTTTTTAAGATGGAGTCTCATTCTGTCACCCAGGCTGGAGTGCAGTGGTGTGATCTCGGCTCACTGCAGCCTCAGCTTCCTGGGTTCAAGTGATTCTCCAGTCATCCTCCTGAGTAGCTGGGACCACAGGCGCATGCCACCATGCCCAGCTAATTTTTGTATTTTTAGCAGAGACAGGGTTTCATTATGTTGTCCAGGCTGGTCTCGAACTCCTGACTTCAAGTGATCCTCCTGCCTCGGCCTCCCCAAGTTCTGGGATTACAGGCGTGAGCCACCACACGGGGCCTCATGTTCCCTATTTATTCCTGGAATATTGCCTTGGAAAAACATAGGGAAAAGAATGATGCTAAGAGTAAATATGTAAATGCACATACCAGGATTTTGTTTGTTTGATTTTTTGCTACCTATGATTTAAAAAGGAAAAATCAGTCTGGGCTCAGTGGCTCACACCTGTAATCTCAGCACTTTGAGAGGCCGAGGTGGGCAGCTCATCGGAGGTCAGGAATTCAAAACCATCCTGGCCAACATGGAGAAACCCTCTCTCTACTAAAAATACAAAAATCAGCCAGTGTGGTGGTACGATCCTGTAATCCCAGCTACTAGGGAGGCTGAGGCAGGAGAACCTCTTGAATCTGGTAGGCGGAGCTTGCAGTAATTGAGATGGCACCACTGCACTCCAGCCTGGACAACAAGAGAGAAACTCCGTCTCAAAAAAAAAAAAAAAAGAAGAAAAAGAAAAATTATCATTTAGAATTGTGTGGGAAAGTCACTTAACTTCTATGTGCTTCAGTATCTTATATGAAAATCTAGAATAATAATTTACTTTCATCTACATATATGTATATTAAATAAATTAATAAGTGTAGGGCATATAGGATGGTGCCAGGTATGTGATAAATAAGCCCGAACTGAGAATTATTTCACTTCATGCATGCCTTTACTTCTTGACCTTTGGAGGAACTATAAGTGTCTGCAATGACTAAAACTGTCCACTAGATGCCACTGTTTCATCGGAGAAAAAAAAACCCTCTTTAATTTGTTCTATTTTATGAATACAACTTAAAAGGAAAAAAATTGTGAAATCTTTTTGTTTTGGTTCTTTGAACCCTTCAGAAATTATGTTGTCAAGGCATTGTGGAAAGCTCTACTTCCTCCTAAGAAGTATACTAATAAGTTTTGCTGCAAAAATACTGTTATTCCCTAAAGAGTGGATTTTTCAATGGGAAATTTAATAATACAAAAGATGCATTTGCTTTCATAGCACAGGCTTGGGGCAAGAGTATAAAATAAGGTGAATGCATTTCCTTTCAGAAGGTAGATTTTTATATTTGTGTGTTTTGTGGTTGGAAACCTGGATAGTTTCAGAACATTGCATGGAGACACAGTCTAGATGCTGGTTATATTACTTATCCAGCAAACCTATATGGTCAGGATACAAGTGACAATCTAGAGAGAATTTTTCTTTAAAGATCCAAATAGTCAAATGGATGATATCACAATCCATGTGCCAAAGGTTGTGGGCTTTACTGATAGGAGAGTCCTCACAAGGAACATGCAGAGCCGACTGGCCCCTATTTTATGAATAATTACATAAAGCTTGAGATCTTATGTCTCAACCCACAACAGATTTGAAATAAAGGTAAAGAAACTTGTTAGAAGAAATAGCAGCCGGACAGATAAAATAATGAGGAAGGAGACGTTTTTGAAAAAGTAAAGCTCAGTCTATAAATCTCAAAATGCATCACATTCTGGAACTGTTTAGTGACAGGTGACCACTCTTTTTTATGTTTTATTTTTATTTTTTTAAGGGGTACATGTGCAGGATGTGCAGGTTTGTTACATAGGTAAACGTGGGCCGTGGTGGTTTGCTGCATCCACCAATCCATCACCTAGGTGTCAAGCCCAGCATGCATTAGCTCTTTACCCTAATGCTCTTCCCGCTGACCCCAACCCCCAACCCCACAGGCCCCAGTGTGTGTTGCTCCTTTCCCTGTTCCCGTGTGTTCTCACTGTTCAGCTCCCACAGATAAGTGAGAACATGCAGTGTTTGGTTTTCTGTTCCTGTGTTAGTTTGCTGAGGATGATGGCTTCTACCTTCATCCATCTCCCTGCAAAGGACATGATCTCATTCCTTTTTATGACTGCATAGTATTCCATGGTGGGTAGGTACCACATTTTCTTTATCCAGTCTATTATTGATGAGCATTTGGGTTGATTCCATGTCTTGCTATTGTGAACAGCGAAGTGCTGCAATGAACATGTGTGTGCATGTGTCTTTATAATAGAATGATTTGTATTCCTTTGGGTATGTGATAGGTCCACTCTTTAGCTCTGGAGTTTATGTTGCTGTTGTTCATAGTCATGAGCCATCAAGAAATGAGTAAATCATATTGACTTTACTCTGTTTTAAAAGATACAGTTGCTTTAAATATATTTCAGAATTATTTCCCTGAAGGTGACTACAAATAAGCAAAGCTTGGGAAGAAGTCAGAAGAATAAGCTAAGTTTCCTGCAGCATGGAGTCTTGCATTAATAACCCCGCTTGGCCAGTCCGCCTCAGAGGGGTATGCCGTCATTGGCAGTGCTTCTTTCATCCCTTAGCTGGTCTGATCAGCCCCTGGAATTTGCCCCTCTACTTGCTGACCTGGAAGATAGCTCCAGCCATGGCTGCAGGGAACACCGTGATCGCCAAGCCCAGTGAGCTGACGTCAGTGACTGCGTGGATGTTGTGCAAACTCCTGAATAAAGCAGGTAACTAGGTGTTGGGGTTGGGGGGCAAGCACAGAGTTGAAGCAAAGTTATAGTTTATGCAGCACAGTCGATTCCAGTGACGTCTTGGGCTTTGTCTTTCTGATCCTTTTCTGAGAAATCCCCTGCACGCACAGGGTTCCCTCACCCTGCTTCCTGTCTTCAGGCCAGTTCCATTCCCCAGGGTGGGTGACGGGCAGCACAATAATGACACAGACTTAAACAGCTTGATCAAATCAAAGACACCAGCCTGCTCCAGAGAGTCAATTTAAATTTAAGTTGGAATCTCAAGTTAAACTTGATGACAGTAAGAATATTGCTAGGTACACCTATAGTTTGCTTAGCTATAGAATACCTTGTAGAAGTAGCCCGATTTCAAGAGATGGAAACATACATCCTTCAGTTTTCCCTGCCTTAGGGACCGCTACTGGAAAGCTGATACAACACGGCCTTTTCCTCGCACATCAAGGCTCACGTGTTTGCTCCTTGTTCTTTTTCTGCTAATACTTTATTGGCTGCATTCAGGGTTTTGTTCTTGGGATGTAGCTGCCCACAGGAACAGGCTGGCACTGTTTGAAGGTAGCAGGCAGGAGACCCCAGCAGCCCCTTTTGAGAAGTCCCCATTTTGGCTATGTCACCGCACATCCAGGGCAGGAGTGACGGCGGAGTGGTGAAGACAGCTCACTGTCTTTCTAGCTGAGTCCTTGCTGCCATGCAGCCCACAGAGAGGCACTTCTGGGCTCTCCTGTATCCACAGAATGCCTCGTGGGTAAGAGTCCATTCCTCGCTCCCACTTTGGAACACCTTTCTTTGAAGCCCAGACATACACATTAGCTTCCAGTAAACCCTAGCCAGTTCTTTACTCCACGAGGAAGATGATGGCTTAAAACGGAGGCTGTTTAGGGAATGGCATTGGGCCTTAGGATCCCAGGGTCCTGCAGAGGAATGAGACCTCCCAGCCTGAGACTCTGAGTTTTCATCTGTGGCGATCTGAGGCTTCGAGGTGGAGCTGGGGTCAAGGGGTGGGGGGTGGGGTATGTGATTTAAATGATCCAACCCTTCCCATGTTCCTCCACTACAAAAGACCCCACATTCTTTGTAAAATGAAGTCCTTGGTGTCTGCAAAGTCGCGACGTATTTCTTCCCTGCCTGGTGACTGCAGGTTCCCTAGAGTGGACTAGGCTTAGGGGCTTATCCTCTTCTGGGACTTGGAGGCAGGGGTGGTGCCACAGACCCATGTTCCCTTAACTGCTCTCTCCTGAGACCAAGCGCGTCTGGATCCACGATGAGTTATCCTTCCCAACCAGTCTGCCCTGAACCTGGTGTGCATGAGAGGTTTCTGTTTCCATTTCTTTGCACAGCATTGATCTTATTTCTTGTGAACTAAGAAGCCCATTAAACAAAGCTAGCCTGTCTCTCCTTTCCTCCATGGGCTGACTTTGCTTAACCTTCCTCCCCTGACAAATACAGAGATTGTCATGTTCACTTTGCTCCTCTCTTGAGCCCTCAGTTTCTCCACTGGGATTGGGAGGAATGCGAACCACATCTATGTCATCTGCTTTAGAGCAATGTAAGAGAAGATTTTAGCAGGAGAGGGAAAAGCAAAAATAACTAATTCATTCTGGACGTTTAAAGAGCTAGCTCCTTCAGTCTTGGGCATTTAAACAGACCTGACAGATAACCTTCCTTTGAAATAAAATCATTTTTAAAAGGACACAGTAGGCTGGGTATGGTGGCTCATGCCTGTAATCCCTACACTTTGGGAGGCTGAGCTGGGTGGATCACCTGACGTCAGGAGTTTGAGACCAGCCTGGCAAACATGGTGAAACCGGGTCTCTACTAAAAATACAAAAATTAGCTGGGTGTCGTGGTGCGCTCTTGTAGTCCCAGCTACTCAGGAGGCTAGGCAGGAGAATCACTTGAACCCAGGAGACAGAGTTTGCAGTGAGCTGAGATTGTGCCACTGTGCTCCAGCCTGGGAGACAGTGAGACTCCATCTCAAAAAAAAAAAAAAAAATGGACACAGTGAATACTTCTATGGGGTTCCTGGAATAGTCATTTTCTTCTTGGGGGGTGCCAAATATTTGCCCTCATTCCTGCAGTACCCACTGACTGCATTTTCCCGGCCTTTCCCAATAGGTGTGTGGGGGTGCTGGGGAGATGAGGGATGTGTGTGTGGTTGGGGTGGGGGTGTGCTCTATGTAAGCCTAAAATTCTTCTTGCTGCCACCCTGCAACCCCCGGCATTTGAGGGCCTTCCTTCTTGTCTGTTCTCATCTGCTTCTAACTTGTCTGTGAGCCACCTCCCCTGAGTTTTGCTAAATTGCTATTTATGCTTTAAACTGCTTTCCTTCTCTTATCACCAGAATCTCTACAGGGTTATAGGGCAGATAATTTGAGAAAAATTCCATTAATTTCTGGATAAAATGTCAAAATAGTACCGAGAAATAAAGGCCAGCCGACATTAGCATCCAAGCCCAGGGAAACGTAATGCAAATGTTAATGTGTCGTGGGCAAGGCAATCCGCTGCGGCAGTGAGCTCGTTTTACTGTGGGATAAATGTGCAGTGCTTCTGTGTTCTCTCTCACCCTCGGTTAAAATGCTACTGTGAACATTAGCAGTGATTCCATCTATTTTTTGCCTTCAGGGTTGATAAAAAGCCTCATAGTCCCCGCCTCCTGCACCACACCGCATCCACCCACATGCACGCCCTGTCATCGGTGGAGTTGCAGGGCCCCATCCAGAAAACTGGGAAACTTGTCCTTGTTTTCATCTCATCATCTACTGGGAGGGCTTCTCCTTCCACACTTTCATTGCCCCAGCCCAGAGCTGGGGTGGTCTCACAGGGTGTGGCCACTCCTCTGACAGTGACCTACAATCTGGGACTGACCTAAGCTAGATTTCAACAAATGTGCACATTGGGTACAGAGATGCAACCCTTAGAAGTGGGACTCTGGCCAGGTGCGGTGGCTCCCGCCTGTAATCCCAGCACTTTGGGAGGCCAAGGTAGGTGGATCACCTGAGGTCAGGAGTTCAAGACCAACTTAGCTGACATGGTGAAACCCTGTCTCTACAAAAATACAAAAATTAGCCAGGCGCCATGGCAGGTGCCTGTAATCCCAGTTACGCAGGAGGCTGAGGCAGGAGAATTGCTTGAACCTGGGAGGCAGAGGTTGCAGTAAGCTGAGATCGAGCCATTGCACTCCAGCTGGGTGACAGAGCGAGACTCCATCTTGAAAAAAAAGAAGAAGTGGGGCTCTGCCAGGCACCATCACAACTTATGGCATCTTCCGACCTGTCTCCTGAGGACTCACTGGGATGGGGCCTTCACTGTAGCTTCAGGGTGATTGGGCCAAGGCTGTGGCTCTATGGGAGAATGTTCTGGATGATAATGGATCATCAATGTGAAATTAGTATACATATGATTTATAATTTAAACATGGATTCTGGAAGAGATGGGCTGTATCTAAAGGAGTATGTTTCTAATGAGGAGAGATTCTCTAACCTGGAGCAAAGGGAAGGAAACCAGAAGCAAGGGAGCAGGTCACAAGCTGAGATGCTGGAAGATTTCTGCACCTACCATAGGTCAGGCCTGAGGACATAGAGGGAATAAATTCTGCTACCTCCAGGCAAACCCTAAGAACTGCCTGGACACAGTGTGATTATACAGATGACTTTCTTTTTGAACATTATAACGATGATTCTCTTTTTAAAGCTTCCCCCGTTTATGAACCATTTCTAATTTGAATAATGTACACTAAGCATTCATTCACTCATTCATTTACTTAATAATCATTAACCTGTCGGCTTTGCTACTTACTCATTGTTATTTAATCTCACTTTGCCTCAGATTTCTTACTGGTGAATTAAGCATAATAAAACTACCTACCTCCTGAGGTGGTTGTGAGGTCTGAAGGGTGTGAATCACTGATAGCAATGGGGAGTCCAGGCTGGCCATCCTGCAGGCTGGGAAGAGTAGCCTCTGCCCAAAGCGGAGAACAAGTACCTGGAGTGGGGGTAAAGGGAACAGAAATGTATGCAGATCAGGGTGGCTGAATACTCATATTCAGTGAGATATGGGAGGAGTCATGAATATTTATGAAAGGAGAAACAGGGGCATGCACAGGTAAGCATCATGTGTCTTCACTGGATCACATGCTCAAAAAATGGCAGCCGTAGCATGATCCGAGGGTGGAGTTTTTGGCCATCTGATATCAAAAGGTGAAGCAGAGGACATGAAAATGCTCGCTATGTAATCTCGGCAAGTCAGCCAAAACCAGTCCTGAGATGGTGGTTAGTTTTCAGGAAGGGATGCGTTGTGAGACTGGTGAGCTGTCACCTCGAAACTGCAAAGAGGGAGGAAAATTTGGTCGCAGTTTCAGATGGTTAGCTAGAAGCGATAGAGGAATGAGTTGTTCATTTCTTGTGTTTTAGAGCTGGTTTCTGCTTACACTCAGAAAAGAATTCTGGTTAAAGGTTAATAAGGAAGGGTCATATTGTGGCATGTTTGACCTCCCATTCCATCATGATTGGGGACTCCGTTTTTAAGGTTTCTCTGGGATCCCTGTGGCCAAGAGAGGGTCCTTTCAGTCAGTTGAGGGAGCTTAGGATTTATTTTTATTTCTCAGTGCCAAACTAGGCTGTGGCACAGCGTATACAATGGAGAGCAAAGAGCAGATCCTGTTTCTGCCCCTTAGCTAGTGTACCTTCTTTTTTTTTTTTTTGAGACGGAGTTTTGCTCTTGTTGCCCAGGCTGGGGTGCAATGGCACGATCCCAGCTCACTGCAGCCTCCACCTCCCAGGTTCAAGTGATTCTCCTGCCTCAACCTCCCAAGTAGCTGGGATTACAGGCATGCGCCACAATGTCTGGCTGATTTTTTTGTATTTTTAGTAGAGACAGAGTTTCTCCATGTTGGTCAGGCTGGTCTCAAACTCCTGACTTCAGGTGATCTGCCTGCCTCGGCCTCCCAAAGTACTGGGATTACAGGCGTGAGCTATCACGCCCAGCCGTTAGTGTACCTTCTAGTTGTGTGCAGGCAGGGAACAAGTAAGTCCAGAAAACTCATACATAGGCTGGGCGTGGTGGATCATGCCAGTAATCCCAGTACTTTGGGAGGCCAAGGCAGGCAGATCACTTGAAGTCAGGAGTTCAAGACCAGCCCGGCCAACACAGCGAAACCCGTTGTCCACAAAATACAAAAATTTGCCGGGCGTGGTGGCATGCGCCTGTAATCCCAGCTACTTGAGAGGCTGAGGCAGTAGAATCACTTGAACCCAGGAGGCGGAGGTTGTAGTGAGCTGAGATGGCATCTCTGTACTTCAGCCTGGGCAACAGGGCCAGAATCTATCTCAAAATAAATAAATAAAAAGAAAAAACATGCATAAATGCACAAAGATACAGGGTAGCAGAGTCTTGTGATAGAAAAGATTGCGGCACCCATTTTTGGTTGTTGGTGGTACTTGTAAGTTGGCCCTACAATGTTATGACACTCTTTATATGGATGGTGCACAGGACTTCCAACCTGAAACCCACCCACCCTGGGGAGCCTTGCCCTGCTCCCCTGGGCCAAGATAGTCTCTCCTTTGCACCTCTGCAGCATGTATACACTTCTCTACTTAATGTTTTCACACTGCATTGTGACTCCTGGACACCAAGATGGAGCAGGGTGCTGCTCCCCTAGTGGGCTTGACCTGCCTGAGACTATCTCGGAATCCTCAACTCTGAGACTATCTCTGCATCCTCAACCCCTAAAGTCTAGTCAGTATTATGGAATGAATTGTCTAAAATGTGTTCTATCCTGCATTTCTCTAGGGCAAAGCATCCAGAGGAATCCCACCTGGTGTGTACTGTGGGCAGAGGTGACTCTGTGGTTTTTGCTTTACTATTAAACCACAGGTAGCCATAAAAGTTCCAAGTGTTGTAAAACCCAATTGCTTCCTCCATCCCCACCCACCCCCATTCAAACAATTGGACTTTGAAGGAGAATTTCCATGGCACTTGAACTCTTCAACATACTGAGGAGAATTACTATAACTGATACTGTTTCCTATCCAGGTGTTCCACCGGGTGTGGTCAATATTGTGTTCGGAGCCGGGCCTAGGGTGGGTGAGGCCCTGGTGTCCCATCCAGAGGTGCCCTTGATCTCCTTCACCGGGAGCCAGCCCACCGCCGAGCGGATCACCCAACTGAGCGCTCCCTATTGCAAGAAGCTCTCGCTGGAGCTGGGGGGCAAGAACCCTGCCATTGTCTTTGAGGACGCCAACCTGGATGAGTGTGTACCGGCAACTGTCAGGTCCAGCTTTGCCAACCAGGTATGTCCCCAGGGGTTCTTCTGCCTTCCTTCCGTGGTCCTGTCAAGCTGGATCTGTTTCATCACAGTGCAACGTCTGGGAGCGAGCAGGTCAATCCAGTGCCGTTTCTGTGAAAGCAGAATCAGTACACTGTGTGATTCCATTAACTCTCTGCTCAATTTTAGCATTAATTCATGGCCCTGTAGAGTCTTCAGTTCAGCAAACTCCTTTTCTTGAGTTGCACAACTTTTATCAGGTGCCAGCCATGGGTGGAATGATTGATTTTGCTGCTCCAAGCATCTCCATTTCTTATTTACACAGTTGCCCTGGCTTGTCATTTATTTTCTTCTTAAACCTTGTCTTTGCTTGTGGTCCAAATGTCCGATTCCCAATAAAAAAACCTTACTCTCATTTCAAAAGTATTTCAAATGCACTCACACACTGAGTTCTAAATACCTGAAACTGACTAGAGAAGATTTCTCAGTGTGGATTCATGGATCAGCTTCAGGGCATTGTTGTCACTCCTGAAATTACGTAACAGGTATTTCTCTGGCCTCTGTGGTTTTTGTCAGATTCTTTAAGGCTGTGGAATTCCAAAGAGTTAAGAATACTAGACCAGGCCAGGCGCGGTGGCTCACGCCTGTAATCCCAGCACTTTGGGAGGCTGAGGTGGGTGGATCATGAGGTCAGGAGATCAAGATCATCCTGGCCAGTTTGGTGAAACCCCGTGTCTACTAAAAATGCAAAAATTAGCTGGGTGTGGTGGCGGGTGCCTGTAGTCCCAGTTACTCAGGAGACTGAGACAGGAGAACCGCTTGAACCCAGAAGGCAGAGGTTGCTCTGACCTGAGACTGTGCCACTGCACTCCAGCCTGGCAACTGGAGTTGACTCCATCTAAAAAAAAAAGGGGGGACACTAGACCAGATCAACAGTAGGCTGCAAGAAGATGGGAACTGTGCCCGCTTTCGTGTGGTATTTTCAGTGCCAATGCTTAGAATACCACCAAGGATATAGCACGTGTACATAAACACTGGATGATTTTCTTCAAAGGATATTTTTATTTTAACAGAGAATAAAGACATAGGCCAAAGTCTTAGAACTTCATAGATGGAAAGAGTAGTGAGAGAGATATCTCTATTGACTTAACTGAGGTAACATTGAATATTGCATAAACTTTTGAACCTGCATTGCTTCACTAATAAAATCATGTGAACAATAATGATGTCTTCTAATAGGGTTTTTATGAGTACAGAGTGAAAAATGTTACTTTCAATTATCATCATGATAATCGTAAGTGTAATTATCTCTCTCACTGTAACTCCTAAAGGAAGTAGCTAGAAATATATAGTTTCTGGATCAATAGACAATGTACTTTTACAATATAACTAATTTAATCGTTAAGCAAGTATCAAGTGAACAGTGAAGCCAAGTGTTTTGATGGCTTAGAGATATTAACAGAGGGACAAATTTTGTGGTCTGAGAAACTAATATTAGAGAAAGATGAACTCTGTATTAAACAAATTCTGAGGAGCTGGGCGCAGTGGCTCACACCTGTAATCCCAGCACTTTGGGAGGCCAAGGTGAGTGGATCACCTGAGGTCAGGAGTTTGAGACCAGCCTGGCCAGCATGGTAAAGCCCTGTCTTTACTAAAAATACAAAAAATTAGCCAGGTGTAGTGGCGGGTGTCTGTAACCTCAGCTACTTGGGAGCCAAGATAGGAGAATCTCTTAAACTCGGGAGGCAGAGGTTGCAGTGAGCCGAGATTGCACCACTGCACTCCCGCCTGGGCAATAAGAGCAAGACTCTGTCTCAAACAAACAAACAAACAAAAAACAAAAACAAAAATCAAAAGGAATTCTGGGCCGGGTGCAGTGGCTCACACCTGTAATCCCAGCACTTTGGGAGGAAAAGGCAGGCAGATCACCTGAGGTCAGGAGTTCAAGATCAGCCTGACTAACATGGAGAAACCCTGTTTCAACTAAAAATACAAAAAGTAGCTGGGTGTGATAGTGCATGCCTGTAATCTCAGCTACTCAGGGGGCTGAGGCAGGAGAATTGCTTGAACCTGGGAGGCGGAGGTTGCGGTGAGCCGAGATTGTGCCATTGCGTTCCAGCCTGGGCAACAAAAGTGAAGCCCTGTCTCAAAAAAAGAAACAAAACAAAACAAAACAGAAAAACAAACTCTGAGCATGAAGATAAGAAGTGTAAGCTTCCCTCCTACCAGAATTTTGTGAAGATTTGAGTCTGCCCAGAGAGCCTTCCTCTTGGAGGTGTTTTAAAATGTCGATGCGGAAAGAGACATACACCTAATGAATTGGCTCATCCAAGGTTACAAATGGATTTTAGGCAAAATAAATAAAGGTGCTTGATTTAGCTGAGTGATGAATTCCATGTAGTGCATATTTCTTCCTTACTTGAATGTAGTTGGCTCTTTTGAAGCATCTCTGTGTGACCTTGGACATGTATTAATTCAAAACTCCTTTCCTAACTGTAAACTGGGAAAGCTAACAGACCACAGAATTGTAATGAGGAAAGCACCCTGCACAGGGTCCGGCTTGCTAGGCGCTCCACGAATGATACTGTCCTTTTCTTACTCTCCCCAAAGTCTTCCTTCTGGGCACCTTGGTATGCTTACCAATGCTTTCTGGGCACTGAGCGACAGGGAACTGGGTAAACCCCTCTAACTTCTTCGTTATGCTCTCCTTCCCTGATGTCACAGGGCACTTGTGCAAATGAAACTATCAAGTGTTTTGACATTGCCCACGCTCGGTATGGAGATGACCCTAACAGTGATCCTGGTTGCAGAAGAATGTATTATTTCCAAAACAGTAATGCTTTAATCTGGACAATGAACCTTTGTACAAATACCAAGACAATCAGGATCCTTCTATTTCCTAGGATTGTTGTGAAGACCAAACACAAACATGGTGAAAAGACTTATGCATTTATGTACTTGTCATGCATAAGTAATGCTTTGAAAGTCTAGAATGTGGTTTGTAAACTGTTACGTGCTATATCCAGACGGTAGGGTTATTTTTCACTGAGAAGTCTGTTATAACCCTTCCATTGCACACTGAGCGTCTCTATTTGATGTCTGTGCGGAGTCTGAAGCCCAGTGTGTCCAAGCCCAGCTCTCGTTTCCCTCCCTCCCCTTCCTTCCCACCTCGTGTCTGCCTTTCCAGGGAACAGCACCACCATCCCCTCCGTGGCCTACTCTTGTTCTTGCCCTCTCTTTGCATCAACAGGTCTTATTGGTTCTGTCTTTAAGGTATATCCTGAATCCCATCACTTCTCCAGTGCATCTGTGCCAGCTCCATCACATTTTGGAGGTCCCGTGCCCCTGGAAGAGTCTGTTGAACTCAGTGGGTCCTTGTCACTCCTCTGCATTTCCATGGATGCCTCTTGGTCCAAACTACCTACACACATCTGCACTTCTGCAATATTCTCTTAAATCCTCTGCTGTGTTCCCACACTTGTTTCCTTCCATCCTATTTTCCCACGGCTGCCAGAATGAGCATTTTAAAATGTAAATTGATCATATTGTTCTGCTGCTTAAAACCCTCCCTTATTTTTTTATGATATTGAGAATAAAACGTAATCTCCTTATGAACCTACGAGACTGCACCATAGAGCCTTGCTAGCCTCCTGACCTCCCCTCCTACCATGCACCTCCTGTCCCTGCCTCCTCCTCCAGCCTCAGCCCCGCCCACCTTCTTGCTTTTTCCTCATGCACAGCAGCTCATTCCTCCTGCAGGTCCTCTGTACTTACTCTGGAGAGTTCCCCACCTCCAGATCTTTTCCTGTCTCCTGCCTTTACATCCGTCAAGATTCCATGCAAATATCCCCTCTTTGCAAGTGCCCTCCATGACTCCCTTTTGTAAAATAGCTGCCCCCACCCCTGCTATCAGTTTCTCGTCCCATCCTCTGCTTAATTTTCTTTTATGGCTTTCATCACAACCTGAAGTTTTATTATGTATCGAGTTTATTTACTTGTGTTTTTGATTGTCTTTCCCACAAGGCTCTGTGTTCCAAATGGTGGAGACTTTGTCTTATTTACACCGTACCCCATTGCCTACCAGTGCCTGATACATGGCAGGTGCTCAAAAGTGCGGGGTGCTCTATCCATGAAGGAGAATGTTCCCAGCCTTTTCACTGTTCTCATTCTTGGCAGGGTGAAATCTGCCTCTGTACCAGCAGGATCTTTGTCCAGAAGAGCATCTATAGTGAATTTTTAAAGAGATTTGTGGAAGCTACCAGAGAGTGGAAAGTCGGCATTCCCTCTGATCCATTGGCCAGCATGGGTGCTCTGATAAGTAAAGCACATTTGGAGAAAGTAAGTAAATTTCTGCTGTGTAAGTAACAGAATAAGTTCTTATTTAAAGACAAGCTCAGTATGAGCATAGCACACATCAGATTCTGAAATACTGTTACTTACTCCCCCATTTTTGAAAAAATAACCTGGGAGAAATTGTCTGTGGACACAGAGTCTAGATATTGTGGATATGAATATTGAAATGCAGTCCCGGTGAAAGTAGCATCCACATGAAATTAATGAACTTGAGAAGTCAGCATGGAGATACCACCAGTAAAGAGGAGAAGCCAAATTTCAAAACATAAAGATCATCTAATAAGGGTGACATGGAAGAGTGCCAGTGATTTCCATAGGCAAACGTTCTCTTTGGAAAAGGCCCGCCTCTGGTTTGTAACAGATGGGATTCCAGAAGTGGCAACACAAACAATCCAAATTGTGTAATCTTTAGTCAGTGGGGGACCAGGGGTGACCCATCTGGAGGAAGCCACTGGTAATCTCTGAGTGATTGATGAAACTCAGATCTTCAGGATCATTTTTTTTTTTTTTTTAAAGCAGATCTGGCCTTTGACTACAATTTAGGGTTATTTTAATTTATTACCAGATGTGACTCCCAAAATAAGTCATACATTTTGGAGTTAGAAGGACTCTGCTTTCAGCTGAGGGCCATTGAGGGAAACTTGACCCCATCTGCCAGCCAATAAGAGACAGAGCGTTTGTGTAAGTTCATAGAACTCCCTGACACTGCAAAGCGCACTCCCACATTGACTATATTTAACTTTGACTTTCAGGACACTGCAACACAGTTGCCTGCAGATGGGAAGATGAAGTAGCTTGAAGGCCTGTCTTTATTTCTTCTGTTTTCTCAGTGAAATAGACATCAGGGTGAGGAGGGGAAAAGGTAGTGGAGTTTTCCGGAGGGAAGAGAGGGGATGAAATAATCTCGCAGTAGGTCAGGAGAGAGAAAGGACTGGGAAGTGACAAAGTTATTAGCAGAGCAGCTCAAAGGGCTCACTTGAGGCCTGTGGTCATTTATTTAAAGTGAGGCTGACCAGCATGGTGTGTTTTTCTCCAGCTAAATTAACCTACAAGATTGCAGGTACATAGGCAGCGTGGACGGTCCTTCATGGAGTGAAGACCTTCCAGGTGCAAGAGACTCCCTTGTTCTGTCTCCTCCTGGCTCTTTTAGACACTAGGGCTCCCTGCCTGCCTGCCCACACCTGCAAATGACTGGTGAAAAACAATGTTAGGATGCCCTGGACTACTTCCTGGGTAACAGAAAGGGGCAGAACGAAAGTTAACCTCCTGGAAGTATCTTTCCGCAGGCTCGGGCAATAGCGCAGTGTGAGGTTCTCTGTGTAATTCACTCACTCAGAATTTCAAAGTTCTTTCTGTTTCAACTCAACAGACACATTATTTTTTTTCTATTTTAGTCGCTGCCATAATAACTATTTTAGTTACGCAGTGAGAGAATACATATTAGTGAAACAAAAGTATTGACTTTTCTGTATCAGTTGAATGATCTTCTTTGTCTCTCTGTCTCTGTCTCTCTCTCTCTCCCTCTCTCTGTCTCTGTCTCTCTTTCTTTCTCTCTCTCTCTGTGTGTGTGTATGTGTGTGTGTGTGTGTGCGCGCGTGTATGTGTGTGTATGTAAGAGGGAGAAAGGAGAGAGAAATTGATGCCACACTTTGACTGATATTGGTAGCTATGGCTTTTCTCTGTGATACGGTAAATATTTGTCTTCAATATGTTGTAATTTCTGTGGACTTTCATACCATATTTTTGATGCCTAGTGTTAAATATTTAATATTGTGTTGATTTATACAAGATGCTAATGAGTTCTCATAATTTATTGGTATAAATTGCAGATTCTATGTGTTTATAAAATGTAACACTAGATAGATGACATACCCTCACCTTTAAAACCACTCCAGGAGCCCTCTCTTTAACCTGCTCTCCTGTCCTTCTGAGCCCACTGGAGGCCCACCTGTAGGCATCTCTGTCCTCTGGCAACAGGCAGCCTCAAGTGGTCTGAATTTCTCTGCTCCACGTGGACAACAAGACCTTTCTCTACTGAGCCTTGGTTCCTTTCAGTGGAGAATGGTAATCAAGGCCAGCAACTGAGCTGAAGGGTGTTCCATTAGGGGATTTCCTATTACATGACAAGTGGCCCAATGACATCCAAGAAGAGGTGGTTTAAAACCTTGTGGTGCTTCGCACAAACTGCCCTTGCCCTCCTTTTTTTTGAGATGGAGGCTTGCTCTGTTGCCTAGGCTGGAGTACAGTGGCACAATCTTGCTTCACTACAACCTTCACCTCCTGGGTTCAAGTGATTCTCCTGCCTCAGCCTCCCAAGCAGTTGGGACTACACATGCATCCCATCATGCTCAGCTAATTTTTGTATTTTTAGTAGAGATGGAATTTTGTCATGTTGGCCAGGCTGATCTTGATATCCTGACCTCAGATGATCCACCCACGTTGGCCTCCCAAAGTGCTGGGATTACAGGTGTGAGCCACAATGCCTGGCCACACTGCTTTTTTTAAAGAAGGTTCCTGGCCAGGTGCAGTGGCGTATGCCTATAATCCCAGCAGTTTGGAAGGCTGAGGCGAGTGGATCATTTGAGGTCAGGAGTTCAAGACCAGTGTGGCCAACATGGTGAAACCCTGTTTCTACTAAAAATACAAAAATTAGCTGGGTGATAGTGGCCTGTGCCTGTAATCCCAGCTACTTGGGAGGCTGAGGCAGGAGAATCGCTTGAACCTGGGAGGCGGAGGTTGCAGATTGCGCCACTGCACTCCAGTTTAGGTGACACAGTGAGACACTGTCTCAAAAAAAAAAAAAAAAAAAAAGGGGGGGGGTCCTGAGTCCATGCTGACATTTCCAATGTAGCTAAATTACCTTTTAACCCTTGCTCTAATATCATAGTTATTTCATTACTGGTGATCATGTGTCACTCTGTTTGGTCAAACCCCATGTTATTCACAGCCAATGCCTAAGTCTTTGGACTAACCTAAGAAACTGGCTACGATCTGTCCCATTACCTCTGTGACCTTCCCTTTCCTCATTCCATTACTGCATACTGGCCTTCCTGTTCCTGGAAAATACCAGGCACTCTTCTGCTGCTTGGCCCTTGCTCTTGTTGCTAACGCTGCCTGGAATGCTCTTCCTTCAGATGTATACATGGCTCTCTCCTTCCCCTTCTTAGAGCAGATGTCACCTGATTGAGGGCTTGCTTGCCTGCCCTATATACAGTGGTACCTTTTAAAACTTTGACTTCTTTGGAGCTTTTTCTCTATGGTCCTTACTGTCGTCTGACATGCAACATATATGTCTTATCTCTTTACTGACTATCTTCCCTGGACTAGAATGTCAGCTTCATGGTCAGTGTTATTCACTGCTGTATCTTTAGACTCTAGGAAGCTCCTGGGACATAGTACGTGCATACTCGTTGGGTGAATGGCTGAATTAACACCACATGATGTGTTCCAGATACGATATATCTCTCTAATTGAAGGTATCCATTTTCCTTGAATTCTTTTTGATCCTGGGCTTAAAGTATCTGGAATTGGGTCCAAAATGTGCAGGTCCTGTCCATCTCTGGCCAGCATGACTCAGCATCAAGACTCTGAAAGGAAAACAAAATAAACACAAAAACTAAAACCTAGCCTTTCTCCAAGAAAACGCTTGAAAATATGCAAGCATGGAGCCTCTAGTATCACTGATCACTAAATCATAACAATGATAAAGGCCTTATGGACACATGCATGCCTTGGAGGTTTGGCTTAAAATTCCTCTTTAACTCTTCATCATTGGTACAAATATTGGTGATTTCAGCTTAGGTCACAAGTAGTTTTGGTATCTAATTCTAGTTTTCTAAAAACCTTTGGTCAAATATGGATCTTCAATACCTCAGTAGTATACAAATCTAACTTTTTAAATGCCAATTAGGAATCTCAAAAAATATATCTAGATTATTATCAAAAATAATTTCAGATTTCTACAGCATTACCTCAAATATACAAGTGAAAAAATTTCTGCGGGTCTATATTTCTCCATGGTTCCTGTGTTTCTCAGAAATCAACTTATTAAAAAGGTACCGAAATATTTCTATTATAACACATTTTAGTTAAAGACACAATTCGCATCGCATTTGGAAGCCTCCCAAGTTCTCAAACTTTAGTTTTGTGTTTTGGTGATTCCCAGCAGTTTTCATCACCTGTAAAGTAAACACAGAATTTAGCAAGTTTAGGTGTCAGAATATTTCAGCATAAAATATCCATGTTTTTCCCTCGAGTAAAATATATACCCTGAACATTGTCTCTGTGACTGAGTCCACAGAGAGGACCTACATGACCTTTCCTTCAGGAGGTTTGTGATTAGAATCTTTCAATCTAAAATAACAACATAGAGAAGGGCTCTCTAAAGAAATAAAAGTGACTTTATTTGGGAATGAATGGCAGAAGATTACAAACTGGGATATGTGTGTTGTGATGGATTCTGGGATAACCAGGGAGGTGAAGAAAGACAAAAGCTTTTAAAGGTAAAATGAGGAAGGTGGTAGAATGTTATTTTGAAATAATCATCATTGGCTGTAAGGATCAATAATAAGGGTTATTTATTATTGTTATTATTATTATTATTTTGAGGTGGAGTCTTGTTCTGTCACCAGGCTGGAGTGCAGTGGCATGATCTCAGCTCACTGCAACCTCCGCCTCCTGGGTTTAAGCAATTCTCCTGCCTCAGCCTCTTGAGTAGCTGGGATTACAGGCATATATCACCACGTCCAGCTAATTTTTGTATTTTCAGTAGAGATGGGGTTTCACCATGTTGGCCAGGATGGTCTCAGTCTCTTGACCTTGTGATCCACCTGTCTCAGTCTCCCAAAGTCCTGGGATTACAGGCATGAGCCACTGTGCCTGGCAAGGGTGATTTATTATGAAACGGGGGCTCCAATCCAAGGTTGAATGGACAGTGCTGTGTAAACATCCTTGTAGAAGTATTTTTTGGGCAAGGTTGCTGTGGC